TTAACTGGGACAAAAACCTCCTAGTTACTCAGAGGTTAACATAAAACACCTTTAACTAGCGACCAGGAAGTCATTGTATGAGAATGGTGTGCAATCAATTATAAAATTAAGAATTGAAAGTACACTGTTTTTATTTAGTTACAAAAAGTGATTAGGCGGTTTTTCGGCTTTACGGAATATTAACTAGATTTTTTACTGCCGAAACAGCGCAGGAAAAAATATAAATCGATAAATACTGTTTCCCTTCGCGTAATTACGAAGGTCTCCAACTGGAAGGAAAACTGGCGTGTTATGAAATAATAAAACCGATTCAGTAGTAATGAAAAGGGTTTCGTAAGCGGATGATGCCGTCAACATTTCTGTTTTTAACAGAGTTAAAAAAAAAAGGAGGATAACCTCCTTTTTTTGACCTCTGATTTTTTTATGAATTATATTACGGATTTGCAAAATTCTTCAAAGGGGCTCCTTCTGAAATGGTTCTATTTAATTTTCATATAGATCTGATGATGAGTTTCGAAGACAGACAACGGAACTCTTCAAAAATGACAGTGAATCAACCGCGATTGTTGCTATGTTTTTCGTGCTTTTTGTTAGTATTGTTTGAAGTCAGTTCAACTTTTAAATAAAAAAGGATTTATCATTCAAAAATTTGTTGCTAATGAAGGAATTTTTATTACTACTGATTTGACAAAGTTGTCCACGTAACGGCCGAGGGAAAACGGCTGCCGGTGCCTAAAAGTAAAGCCAATGGTGTCTCTTATATGTTGGTGACACAGTACTGATTGATCTAATCATTAAAATTTCTAATATTAAACTAAAATGTTATCAAACACAGTAGATCCAAATGTAATTGATGTCATAAAAATATTTTTGCAATTAAAACTTACATTTAATGGTTGGAATACTGACTGTGGTCTATATCTATGAACAGTTACTTTAAGAACTGCAAAAAAAGATGTCTTAAAAAAAATGCCATCTCCATACAGATTATTTTTGCAAACGATACGCTCAGAAGGTCACTCAAACTCGCACTAATGCAGTTTTTAATCGGTTTCTAAAAAAAGTTGGTCATTTTCCATTCAGCGGTATTTTTATGTTTATTACCTCAATACTCCGTCTTTCATTCCACCCCTAAGGGTGAATATTAAGGAATGGAGAATACTGTTTATTACAATTTATGATGCAATCGGTGATACTTCTTATACGTTAATAATTATCTTGACGAGTAGTATTCTCGTGCTTTAATAACGTAGTTGAACTATCGTGCTTAGAGTGACGCACCACGTCAGACAAACGTCGCGTCTCTCGTACGATGACACTGAGCCGACCAAAGACTCCGCCCGCCCCGAGTCGGTCAACAAGATGCGATGGCGCGTGTCGCCAACTCGTTTGTCCTATACCTTGAAATTTTATAGATCATAACTAAAAATAAGAAAACGACTGAGACGAGTGTACGTTTTGTGGGCTACACATATTGTGGAATTTCTCAATGAAACGTCACCAAAAATGAAAAAAAAAAGAGTGAAATTTCTTTTTTTTTTTCCTTTTTGTTCATCATGTTTTCATCCAGTTTTCATTTTAATACATAAAATATAATATTAAATGCTATTATAAACGTAAATGCTTTCTCGTGCCCATGCTTTTCCCGTTAACCCCTTCCAATAAGTTACATTACTGTTCTTTATTACAATTTTATTTCCGCAACCTTACGATCTTAAGTTCGATACTTTTTTCTTGTTAGTGTTATTTTATTATGGTTCTATTTGACTAACAATAATTTTTCCATAGTAAAATTGGTTGACTACAATTGTGTCCGCGTGTTAATTACCATGGAAATTTATTTGACACGGTACATGATTTTGAGATGATTAAGACAATACAATCTTTTCTTTGCAACGTTATTACTCTTCTTGATGGACTGGTGTGGCAGCAATAAGTTAATGCCAACTGTTTTATGAATTAAGTTTAGAGAAATGTAATCAAGACGGTTCTTACTATAGACGTAAGTGATAGTGATAATATGATTAAGTTTCCTTCTTTTATACCTATTGCGCAGTTTGTAAAGATAAGCGGTTAGTGTAGGAAAAGGGTTCCACACTATTTATTTGTATGATTGCTGACAGTGACCCGTCTTTAAAAATTAGCACGTGCATTAACATTTTTAAAATGCTGAGTTTTTTAGTTATGACTCCTTTTTAATTATGACTCATGGGAAAAAAAATTATCTATGCAAAACTAAAAAGCATTCTTCTATCTGTAAATCCTTTCTTAGAATCCACCAAAAATTGTACAGAGCACCACACGAACATTACTTATTGTTTTATCCTATTCATTTATTTTTTACCTGCTTCGTTGTACTGTTCTTCTGGTTTTATTGATATTATAGATAACAAGCTAATGTTTAGTAAAATAATTCTAAGTGTCGAGCCGGCTTAAAAGGGTTTAAACATTTCATAACATAAAAGAAAATATAAAACTATACAACATTGTATTGTTATTAAAATTGTATCGTGTATAGTCGTGCAATAGCTTCCACATTATTATTTTTAAAAGGTATATTAAATAAGTATATATCTTAAAAAATGCTCTCGTTAAATTATAATTTGCTGTATAGTACAATTTAACGTGAGCGAAATGGCCTGGCAAAAACTACTACTGACTGAACTCTTTTAAGATTCGTGATAGTTTTCGACATCCAGGATATCCAATTGAGCGTGTTTGGCTAGACTATCTGGCCTCAAGATATGCCAGATATACGACTAAACACTTATCCGTTTTATATCTACTTTAACAAGTTTTATTGACATGTACGATACATAAATAAATGTAATTAATGCGTCATAATATTTTCAGTAAACACAGTCTTTCAGATGATACTAGTCATTTGTGAAAATCCTTATCATTATCATCGACAAGTTTTTACAAGCATTGTACGATAATAGAGTCTATTAATAATGTTGACTGCATTGAATATTATTCAAAATGTAATGGTAATCCGTAATATATATCTCACTAAACAAATAGGTTTGGATTTCATTTGGTATCTTTACTTATATTATTATAGCTTTAGTATTTTAACAAGTTGGTACACGCAAAGTAATATTATTGTTTGTAGTAGATACCGAATCGAGGAATAATTGTATTCGTGTCTCGTATGAGGACGTACCTACGTATGACCCACGGATTGACGCCAAAGTTGGACGTGCCCCGAAAACGTTACTTTTCCGGTTTGTTGTAAACTAGTTTCGTCTTGTTCAAAAGACCGTTACTTCAATAATCCTTTTTACCGGCAACGCTAGCCATGTGGTGTTTTTAAACCTTTCATATGCAATTTTACGTTTTCATCGTAGCTAACCTACTATAAATTTGTGAGAAAGTATGCTTAAGAGCTTAAATGCAAGTAAAAATCATACGGACCGGTTGCATGTAAATGTGGTTAGTTCTCCAGTTAAACCACGTGAACCGCCACTTTCCGTTCAATAGTCCTTAATACCGTCAACGCTAGCCTTCTATAAAGTGAAAGAGGCTCTGTTGGACATGAAGTTAAGAATCTTAAATGGAAAACAAAAACCTTACAACAAAAACGATAATTGTGTGAAAGAAGCTGATTACGGCATGAACTAAAGTCTTAAATGCAAGTAAAAATCATGAGGACTGGTCGCGTGCATATGTGGTTAATTCTTCTCAAGTTGCGGCAGATGCGAGTCTAGCCGTAACGTGAGCCCGTAATACGTAGCCAGCGTTAGTCGGTTGTGGTGACCTACCCGCCGTAACCGTGGTGGCCACCATGACCAGAAATAGCTAGGCCTACGGGAACTGGGGGCCTGCGTCTGCATTAGGAGAAGATTTGCCCATAATCGCCACACTGGACAGGCGGGTTGGCTTAGTTTGAGGTGAGGTTGACTTCGGTCCCATCCGCTCAGAGCGTGTAAAGCGCGATAAGGAACTTCGTTCCAATAATTACACAGTTACCCTATAATAAGTTTTATAGTTTATGCAAAACTAAAATATTTTTTTTTAAAGAATCGTTGACCTTGGTACGTAAGTATCTACGAATTTCTTAGTGAAATCTTTCTAATTAATAAGCTAGTGCGTTCATTTTCACATAAAAAATTACATCTATACATATTATTATATAAAACTGCCTATCTGTCTCAAATCACGTAAGCAATGTTCACTCTTCCTTAATATTGATGATGATGGTGATGAATATCCTTTTAAGTGTGTAAATAAACCGTAAAGCAAGCAGCGAGAGTTTATTTTTAAACTATGTTCTTCACATGGCGGAGTCAGGGTGGGGCAATGGCTGTCCTTCCTTCTGCTACCTCCCGTCCTTCCTCAAAATATGAAACATCCTTGGTTACCAAGGATGTTTAATATTTTGTATGTATAGACTTCACTACTTCGTTAATGCTTAATAATGATTAAACTATTACCTAATGATTTCACAATAAACACATTAACGTATTTAAATTAGGTGCGTAATGATAGTGAATCTCATCAGTTAATGGTTCCAAAAAATGTGAGCTCTCTAAATAGTACAAAAATAAATATCTTATTTAAAACATGATAAAAAGTACAAAATTTTAACAAAAACTTTATTAAAAACATCTATTTAAATGCCACATGGCATCGTATTTGTAAATGTATGTAAATACAACGTGGAACATCAGCTGATGTGCGTAAACAAAGCCGAAGGGATTCTCTCGGAATTCCAATTTGCCATCCACAAATATAATGTATGAACCTACATTAACTATCCTTTTTTTTTTAATGTTTATTATTATTGTAGATAATAAGCCTTTTGTTATTACAATAGGCCGGTCGACCGGCATGTCCCGTTAATGAACGAGCTCTACCTGCGTAAACGTATGAAGCGTGGTAGCTCCTACCATCGCGTCATTAGTATAGCGAGAGTGCGCGCGAAAGCACATTATCTTTCGCCTCCTGCTCTGCGCTAACTATCTCGACTTTATGTGTACACGAGCCAGTTTTCAGCAATGTATGTTTGTGTACAATCGTATTGGTTTTACGAGGAGAGCCTCGCAACGGTGTCCAGGGCTGCTGCACGCCGGCGCCAGCCTCGTGATCGTCGCCGACCACCGTCGACGCCCCCGACGCCGTCGACGCCGCTGAGCATCTCTCCTGAGAACCTAGCGGTAACTCTTCGCCCTCATCCTCTGTCAGGACAATGTATGTGGACATTTGGATATCCCTTGCCGAGGACATTGCCGATTACTACGTGGGATGTGAACGCTCCAGAATTTGTACCTGGTTCTCAATGCGACAGCGGTCGCGGGTCGTTCGGTTTGACTCCACTTTCTAACAGTGATGAAGAAGCTAATGCAGTGGAACATTTGCCAGCGCCGTCGACGCCGCTGAGCATCTCTACTGAGAAACTAGCGGAAGCTCTCCGCCCTTATCTTCTATCAAGACAGTGTATGTGGACATTGGGATATCCTGTAGAAATTGAACCGATGTCATCGAAAGCAGTAGTATACATTAATCCACCACCTCGAAATAGGCCATGGCCGAATACTACGTGGGATATGGACGCTCCAGAATTTGTGCCTGGTTCTCAATGCGACAGCGGTCGCGGGTCATTGGGTTCGACTCCACGTTCTGACAGTGATGAAGAAGTGGATGCAGTCGAACATTTGTGTGTACGTTGTGATAAAACGTTTCGAATGACTCGAGAAGGTGAATTTCTCAAAGTCGAACCGTGTCTCTATCATTGGGGACGTGTGAGTGCGGACTGCCGTTTCGCTTGTTGCAAGTCACTTTGGGGTTCCAAAGGATGTAGTACAGCTCGTTATCACGTATGGAGCGGCACTCGTCCAGGCATGAATGGACCTCTCGAAGGCTACGTACGTGCTCGCTCTCCTCGCGGTGGTGTCTATGCCATCGATACAGAGATGTGTTATACAACGGCAGGATTGGAATTAGCTAGTATAGCAGTCATTGCCGCTGATGGCCGACTTGTATACCAATCACTTGTAAAGCCGAGTTCTCCTGTAGTCGACCACAATACCCGATTCTCGGGCATCAGGCCGCGCGACTTGGCGCGTGCGACTAAGACGCTGAAAGACGTACAAAATGATATTCTTGGATTTGTGGGAATAGACACGATCCTTATTGGACATGCGTTGGACAATGATCTACGAGCTCTGAAATTGTTACATGGTTCTGTGGTTGACACTTGCGCGTTGTACCCTCACGCACGAGGATTCCCAATGCGACGATCATTGCGAGCGCTCTCGGAGGAGTTTCTCGGGCGCATTGTACAGCATGGAAGTGTCGGACATTCACCACTAGAAGACGCTCGTGCTGCTATGGACCTAGTACTTCTTAAAATTCACAAAGAGCTGGCAAGCCGTGCTCTTATGTCGAACCATCTGCCAATGTTTCATCCTTATAATCCGTTAATCAATGCCGCCTGATTGTTGTTATAAGTTTTAAGACTATTGAGATGTATAATGATGGACTGATAAATTGAGTGCCAAGTTTGTCACGTTGACGGGGTGCGCGTGCTGTAACATATAGGATGTGCTTTCGAATTGCAATTATGGCAATAAACGTGATATTTTTCTAAAAATATTCTTTAATTTGTTCCCTACTCCTGATTATCCTGATACAGAATCAAAAAGAAAAAAAAATGAAATTGAAAGTACACTGTTTAATCACTTTTTGTGGCTGAACAAAAGGCACAAAAGGTGATTAGGCGGTTTTTAGGCTATACGGAACATTATCTAGACTTTTTACTGTTGACACAGCGCGTAAAAAAGTATAAATCGATAAATACTACACGTAACTACGTAGGCCTCGAAATGGAAGAAAAACTGGCGTATTATGTAATAATAAAACCAATTCTGTAGTAATGAAAAGGGTTTCGTAAACGGATGATGCAGTCAACATTTGTACGTTATTCTGTTTAATTTCAAAAGTTTGTTGCTAATGGAGGAATTTTCAATACTATTAATTTGACTAAGTTTTCCGCGAAACACCTAAGGTAAACGGGTGCCAGTGCCTACAAAGTTTGTAAAGACTAAAGCTGTCTCTTCTATGTTGGTGACACAACACTGATTGATCTCATTGTTATATTTCTAATATTAAACTAAAATCTTATCAAACACAGTAAGGTCCAAATGTAATTGATGACATAATTACGATATCAAAATATTTTTGCAATTAAAACTTACATTTTGTGGTTTGAATATTGACAGTTTTCCATAGACCACGGTCAATATTACAACCACAAAATGAGATATATCTAAGTACGAGTATTCTAAGAACTGCAAAAAAAGATGTCTTGAAAAAAACGACGTGAGGTGTCTAGATTATCGAGTACACTCAGCTCAGCAGCATAGGCAGTAAGAAATATTCGAGAGTTGACTGATGTTTATTTATATTGATATAATAATATTGAAATTTTTGTGCTACACAATCTCCTCTGTAACACAAAAGTAGTTTTAATATAATTTAATTGCTCTCGCACAATTCGAGCAATATATAATTTAGGCAATCGTTGTTCTTTGAGGCAGAAATTTAAAAAAATAGTGGCAGTGACATGTTAATATATATATGAAAATGTAATGTTTGTTCATATTTACAACGATAGCTTTTCAAAAAGAAGTGATACATTCTATAAATACCAGAAATAGGAATAAACTTGTTGTACCTGCCTCTAGGCTCCAAAAGATAAACAAGTAATTTCTAGGTCAATGTTTCCGTTTTTATAATAAAATCCCAAATAATATACAAGACTTAAGCACAAAGAAATAAATCCGTAATAAAACGTAAATTATGTCAGAAAGCCTACTAGTTACTACTCGATTGTAGATTACATAGAAGACAAGAATGCTTTTGATTAATTTAGCACAGGTTATTTCTTAGTGGAAATGTACTGTGGGCTAGTGTGTTTTTATTTATTTTTGTTTTTTTTGTTTGCGTCACTTTCATTTCTATTACATCTTTTATCTTTAACTTTTTTATTTTCGTTGCCTTTTTACCTTTTAGTCCTTAATAAGTGACATACTAGCCCTTATCAAAACAATGTTGTTGTATGCTTAATAATGTCATTGTATCTACCTGTTAATTAAAAATTAAGTTTTTTGCCCTGTCTTCTCATAAAGCTCAAACCCTTGGCAACGGGCGGTTGTAGATCGGTACAATCATATATGCTATAGATTTTCGATAGGTATAATATTATTGAAATGAAACGCATCTGTGTCATATATAATTAAAAGGCAATTCCTTTTAATAATATATGACACAGATGCGTTTCATTTTTAAATTTCGAGCATCCCAAAACTTATATAGTGACTTACGTATCAGCAGACCTAATTACAAAGACTGAAAGACGAAGTATGCCCTTTTAAATTAAAATAGTTTTCTGAAGCGATTTAGGTAGGTTAAAGACGATTTGATACATATTTTTTATTACATAAGGATAGTTTGAGTTTGGACAGTTTGGACTAAAGGACATCTTTATATGCTTTTGCCTCCTTATTTTAAACCTCTAATATATTCATTTTAATGCCATGTTGTACAGAGCAATTTTAATCTACATTAAATGCGCAACGTATCTAATGTATTTAATCGGATAAGGAATAATAATATATTGTTTGAAATAGCTTCGTAAATAAGCCATTATGTTTTGTAATATTTAAAAGATAAAAATGGTTTCCGACTTTTTTGTAGACCTTTTAAAGGTATACAATTCTGTAGTACATTGTTTTGGTCTATCTCGTAAGGTTAAGCCAGCGTTTGCAGTCATAGTTCACACGTAATATAGCAAGAAGTGTCGGAAATCTTGGTGTCAAAAACGCTATCTCCATACAGATTTTTTGTAAACGAAGCTTAGAGCGCGAGTCAAACTCGCACTTGTGCAGTTTTGGACATTTTCGATTCGGCTGTATTATTATGTTTATTACCTCTATACTCCGTCATTTATGAATGGATTTTATATTTCTTTCTTTATCTGAAAAGTTCCTTCCGATTTGGTCCCATTTAAATTTGAAGAAAACAATTCCACCCCTAAAGATGAAAATTATGAAATAAAGAATACAGTTTAATTACAATTCATGACGCAGTCGGTGATACTTCTTATACTTTAATAATTATCTTGACGAGTAGTATTCTCGTACTCTTTAATAACGTAGTTGAACTATCGTGCGTAGAGTGACGCACCACGTCAGACAAACGTCGCGTCTCTCGTACGTTGGCACTGAGCCGACCAAAGACTCCGCCCGCCCCGACTCGGTCAACAAGATGCGATGGCGCGTGTCGCCAACTCGTTTGTCCTCTACCTTGAAATTTTATTGATCATAACTAAGAATAAGAAAACGACTGAGACGAGTGTACGTTTTGTGGATAACACATTTTGTGGAATTTCTTAATGAAACAACGTCACCAGTGTTATTGAAATTTTAGAATCCAGTTTTTATTTGAATTCATAAAATATTATATGAGAGACTATTAAAAACGTGAATGCTTTCTCGTGCCCATGCTTTTCCCGCTAACCCCTTCCAATAAGTTTCATTACTGTACTTTATTTGAATTTTATTTCCGCAACTTTTCCGATACTTTTTCTTGTAAGGATTATTTTATTGTGGTTCTATTTGACTAATATTATTTTTTCCATAGTAAAATTGGTTGACTATAATTGTGTCCGAGTGCTAATTATCACGAAAATGTATTGGCCACGCTCAATGATTTTGAGATGATTAAGACAAGACAATCTTCTCTTTAAAACGTTAACGTAAACGTAACTCTGCTTAAGAACTACTTGATCATGTGCCAGCAAGGAGATAATGCCAATGGTTTTATGAATTAAGTTTAGAAAAATGTAATCAAGACGGTTCTTAATATAGACGTAAGCGATAGTGATAATATGATTAAGTTTCCTTCTTTTATACCTATTGCGCAGTTTGTAAAGATAAGCGGTCAGTGTAGGAAACGGGTTCCACACTATTAATTTTTATGATTGCTGACAGTGACCCGTCTTTAAAAATTAGCACGTATGTTAATTACCCTTTTGAAAATACTGAGTTGTACATTTTTTGTTATGACTCATGTAAAAAAAGAGACGTGCTTATTACCCACAACACTAGCATCTAAAAGTATCTATGCAAATCTAGAAAGCATTGATCAATGCGCTGTAAATCCTTTCTTAAAATCCATCGAAGATTCTACAGAGCACCTTACAAAAACATTTATTATTTTTCTCTACTTTTCTTCTTGTTTCATTGATGTTATAGATAACAAGCAAATGTTAAAAAATGCGAAGTAAGTGTCGAGCTGGCCTAAAAGGGTTTGAAACTTTCAAAAAATAATATACAAAACTATGCCATCATGTCTTCTTATTAAAATTTTAAAGAAAAGAAAATATAAGAATATACTTACCTTATAAGTAGAAAGTACTCTCTGTAAATTATAATTTGCTTAAAAGTACGATTTTAACATAAACGAAATAGCCTGCAAAACTACTACAAACAGGAAATCCAATTGATAGCGTTTGGCTCGACTATTTTCCTTAGTCCTTATTACCGGCAACTCTAGCGATATGGTATTTTTAAAGCTTTAGCGTGCTATTTTACGTTCTCATGATAGCTTAAGTACAATAAATTTATGAAAGAGGCAGTTTTGGCCATCAAATCTTAAATGCAAAAAAAGGACCTTAAACATCGGTCGCGTGAATACGTGGTTTGTTTGGCATTTTGACGTGAACCGCTGCGTCACTTGACAGTCAACAATCCTTATCACCGTCAACGCTAGCCATCTGTTGTTCTTATAAATGGACAGCCCATCAGATTAGTAAAAAAAAATCGATGGGCAGAAATACTCGATTTTCGAGATTAAGATGAGTTGAGTTTAAAAAAATCAGGTGATCAGAATCAGGTTGAGCGTGACAGAAAGCAATGGGAGGGTCACAAAGTTAAAAAAAAAACACATGACCTTGAGTTATTATTTTGAAGCAAACAATGAAAGAAACCTTTAAATGTCTACATATTTTTCGTGTGTATTTCGAAATGGCGATTTTTCGAATTTGCAGTATGCATTTTCGATAATTCGCTAGGAGGGTTTTTGGCGTCCAAATAACATATCCTCAAAATATCTGATGCGCTCGAATATATTTTTTGATTTCCTCCCCTTACATATTGACAATCTGCAGAAGCTTTTCCCGAAACATATAACTTTTATTCATTCTATTACCTTATCATTCAAATGCAATATGTCCCAATGACGCTTGAATAAATCACCATTTAGCATAATGGGCGATACTATGTAAAAGGCTGTTTAGGCATGTACTTAACTGCAAATTTTGTAGTTCTCATTGCATTGAATTGCAAGTTCTTAAATGCAAATAAAAGTCTTACGAACGGGTCGCGTGTATGTGTGTTTAGTTTTTCAGTAAAACTATACGTTTTGATGTAAACCTCCAGTTGCCAGGTCAACAGTCCTTATTTTCGTCAACGCTAATCATGTGGTGTTATACCGATGTGCCTATGTAACCGAAGGGCGCTAGGAGGGGTCCGGACGTCCTAATAATATCAGTCCCCGGATCCCTCCTATTACAGGCGCAGAGTGGCACACCTTGTGGTTTTAGTCGGTCCGATAGCAAACCCCGGTGGGGTGACGGCCCGAGGAGGTTTCCACACGTTAAAAAAAACTTATTTTATTAGGGAAACACACTAATAAAATAAAAATGTACAGGTACAACACACCATTTATTTTCTGGACCATTCTTCTTCTACCTATTGCAAGAAGAAGGAAGTGTCCATTTATGTATCTGTTTCTGTACTTGTCTTGAGAATCGCTAAAGATAGTTAATGTGCTGTTGTGATCTGCAAAAATGTAGATAACAATTTGCTCTCAAAATTGTGATTAACTTAAATGTAATGCTTCAAAAATACCACTACGGCATCCATTGTGTTTATGCGTTCCAGTTTAGTGTAAATCAATTACACACATTATTCTCCTTATTTAACTGACCATTTATTTTATGGGTTTCATTAGTCATTACTTGCAATAATTATGCGTCGATTCATCAAGGTAATATGATAACACATCTCTTCGCCGTGAACCATTCATGTAGCTAAGTTAGTTACTGACTACGCAAACTCCTTGACCTACTTGAAAACTTGCAGTTGCGTGACAGTGGTCAGCTGTTAATGATGTCCAACTTTCACCAAAACATTGTGCTGTGATATTATCGTCTCTCTGTTGCTTTTGTGGTCAACTTGTGACCTACAAACATCATCATTGTTTTAAATACGCATAGACTGACAAATTTGTTTTGATCGTTAAAACAATGAGTAAAACATTAGATGGGATAACAGTATTTATTTATTTTAATATAATATTAAAGAAATGTATGTCAATACATTTAAATGTGTTAGTAAATAGTAACACTATAAACTGTCAAGTTGAATAAATAATAGTAACCACTTTGTTGTTCGTATCTAGATCACCACAAGTGATCGATAAACTTGCAATCACTTGCAATCTACGCTTAGCTTTTTTGGCATCACATTGTTGCGTCACACACATCCCGTCACATTTCAGATCAATAGCGTGGCGCTGCTACTGCTTCAACTAGTCATAATATTGTCTATTACTTGATTTTATGTAGTCTAAATATTGCAAAACGAACCGAAAATCTTGTATTATAGACATTACGAAAATGTATCTTGGAAGTGTTTGTAATGTAACAAATTTGGTTTTGAATTAATCTAATGACAAGTTAATGTCAATAATGAATAGGATAGGACACTACATTTATCAAATTACTGCCAGAATGTTTCTCTATTATAGTTGTTACTATCTTGACTGTAAAATCAGTAAATAATAAAACTAGTATATGTGATCACGCCATTTTCTTCGGCTTTCGAAAATAGTTGAAATTGTGTGCATGTACGTCCTATTTAACTAGGAATCAATATTTTACCCTCACAGGAAGATAAGAAAAAATGTTTACCGCATATGGTTCTACTGTCGAGATCTATACATATAACTTAACATAGGCAACTAAAATTAAAAGTTCCGGTAATATACTCATCGGTTACCCTGGCCTACTGACCGCGATTGCTAGTAGAACAAACAGATGTATGCGTTTTTAATTTATATAGGTAGCAGGGAGATGTCGTGGTAAGCCACTTATCCTATTTAAGCTGAACTCTCATAACGGGTATATTACGCTAACGTTATATAAAGTCAACCTGAGGATGATATGAAGTGGTTTGCTCAACGGTCTTAATACGGGAATATCTTAGCTCTTTTTATCCATTGTAGCATTTGTAGTTCAGTCGCACGTAATATAAACACACTTATATACCACTACCTCATAACTACCTCATTTGAAAAGTATAGTTAATTTTATTTAATGGCCCTAGTAAGCAATGATGTACTTCTTTTTTTTTTAATTTTAATTGAGATTGTATTACAATGGTATCTAGATAATGATAGCCAAATGGGTAAACCATCAAACACAGACTAAGTTATAAGGTATGTGCAAAATTTATTTATATAGGCGAAATGCAAAAAAAAAAGGTGAAAAATATTTGACGTTCTTTCTATTATTTAACAATAAATATTTTTTTAGAAAATTTAAATAAACTAAAGTAGTTGCTAAAGAAATAACTTAACTCGTTAAAATGAACGTGGCTTGGATAGAAAACAGCTCCAAAGTACTACTAGACTATAGATGTGTTTTCTGAAAAAGAGTTAGCAACCCATGCGATGCACCTCGGGGTTTTCAGAGTATTTTTAGGCACAGGTTCGAGCATCCACTTATCATCTAGCGGACTGCTCAGTCCGCTTGATGATAAGTGGATGCTAGTACCAGTTTCCCGTATTAATTGCATATGCAGCTGAAAGGGTGTACTTTTTAAGTAGGTATATGTAAATCTTAATAAGTAAATAGGTTTATTTTAGTAAATATTTTAAACCGAACAACCACAAGCATTCACCGTAGGTCGACCTAAATTTTAAAAAGAAGACGTTGGATAGGTAATACATATGTGTTTATAATACAACAACTTACAAAAACGGCATTAAATTTACTAATGTAGACAGCTTTTTATTCCATAAATATTTCGAGGGTTAACTTTACTGTTAGAAAACTCATGTATGAGATGATTCAAGGAATCTACGGTATTTACAAAATGTCAGTTATCTAGTCTATATTTCGAACACTTTATGTGTTTGATTGTTACAAATATAAAAAAAAAGTTTGTTTTTGACTGAAATGGTTATAGCGGTAGCTTTTATGTGAGATATGTGAGTGTAAAGCGAACTAGTCTTCGCACGGGCCAATTCAAGTATCGTGTACGATACCATTCCTCGAGTCGATGCGCGTTTGACATCGAAGGTTATCGTCGGTGTCAGCGACCAGCGGCCGCCGCGCCCACACGCGCTTCTGTATACAAACAACAGCTCAGCACACACGCTTACACTATCGTTTTATGTTATTATTATGTGGCCATACGTACTTGTAAATATGTACGCATTTAGAGTACAACAACGTCACGGTCAGACTTGATAGACGGTGCTTCGAATCCTTCAAGCGCACATGTCACATGTGTTTGATAGTGAAGTTCATTACAGATTATTGATCCGAATAAAAATACTAATTTGATTTGTTTATCAACAAAAACAATAAGCGCGTCTGGGTATATAAACTCTATTATCTATAATATATCGTATCGTTCCAAATAATACTAAGTAAACAGTGACCCGACCGAGTGAGTGTCATAAGTTTTTAGAGTTTATGCAAACCAAAATAATCATTTACAGACTGAACCGATGACCTCGATCGATATAATGTAGTTATCTACGATTTTTTTAGTGAGATATTTCTATTTAATAAGTTTGTGTGTTCACTATAATATAAAAAAAATATAGGTTTACTTATTAATATATAAATTAAAACTGTCTATTTGTCTCAAATCACGTAAGCTCATGTTCACTATTCCTTAATATTGATGATGATGACTCATAGAGTAATGATTCACAAAGAAGTTTATTTTAACAGATAATCAATACAAAAATGTCCTTATAGGTATGTAAATAAACCGTAAAGCAAGCCACGAGAGCTTACTATTAAAATATGTTCTTTACATGACCGGGGTCAGGGTAGGTCAATGGCCGTCCTTCCTTCCGCTACCGCCCGTCATTCCTCAAAATATTGAACTTACTTGGTACATAGGTACCAAATTAGTTTAATATCGTCGTTTGGTAGCATCGCTTTCTCTGTGCAATTATTTATAATGAATATGTAATGTTATAATAATGATAATTTCAAAATAAACACATTTGTATTTAAATTAGATGCGTATTGATAATGGATCACATTAATTAATGGTTCCCAAAAATGTTTTCTCCAAAAAGTGCTAAAATTAAAAATCTTAGAATATAAATTAGAATAGAATAGTCTTCTTTTAAATTATTATTTACATACAAGAAAAGAAGTATAAAATTTTAACAACAACTTTATTAAAAACATCTATTTAAATGCCACATGGGTATCGTATTTGTAAATGTATGTAAACACCACGTGGAACATCAGCTGATGTGAGTAAACAAAGCCGAAGGTATCTATCGGAATTCTAATTTTACATTCACAAATATAATGTATGAACCTACATTAACTATCATTTTCATTTAATGTTCATTATTATTGTAGATAACAAGCTTTTTCTAATTACAATAGGCCGGTCGACCGGCATGTCCCGTTAATGAACGAGCTCTACCTGCGTAACACGTATAAAGCGTGGGCTGCCCCACCATCGCGTCATTAGTATAGCGCCAGCGCGCGCGAAAGCACGTATCTCTCGCCTCCAGCTCCGCGCTAACAATCTCGACTCTATGTGTACACAAGCCGGTTTTCAACAATGTATTTTTGTATACAATTGCAAAATTGGTTTTCTGAAGATGGCCTCGCAACGGTGGACTCTGCCAGCGCTGCAGCACGCCGGCGCAAGCCTCGTGATCGACGCCGACCGCCGTCGACGCCACCGACGCCGTCGACGCCGCTGAGCATTACTACTGAGGAACTAGCGGAAGCTCTCCGCCCTCATCTTCTGTCAGGAAAGTGTATGTGGACATTGGGATATCCTTTAGAAATTGAACCAACGTCATCGAAAGCAGTAGTATACATCAATCCACCACCTCGACATAGGCCATTGCCGACTACTACGTGGGATGTGAACGCTCCAGAATTTGTGCCTGGTTCTCAAGGTGACAGCGGTCGCGGGTCGTTGGGTTCGACTCCACGTTCTGACAGTGATGAAGAAGCGGATACAGTGGAACATTTGTGTGTGCGTTGTGATAAAACATTTCGAATGACTCGGGAAGGTGAATTTCTCAAAGTCGAACCGTGTCTCTATCATTGGGGACGTGTGAGTGCGGACTGCCGTTACACGTGTTGTAAGTCACTTTGGGGCTCCAGAGGTTGCAGTACAGCTCGTTTCCACGTATGGAGCGGTACTCGTCCAGGAATGAATGGACCACTCGAAGGCTACGTACGTGCTCGCTCTCCTCGCGGTGGTGTCTATGCCATCGATACAGAGATGTGTTATACAACGGCAGGATTGGAATTAGCTAGTATTGCAGTCATTGCCGCTGATGGCCGGCTTGTATACAAATCACTTGTAAAGCCGAGTTCTCCTGTAATCGACCACAATACCCGATTCTCGGGCATCAGGCCGCGCGACTTGGCGCGCGCGACTAAGACGCTGAGAGACGTACAAAATGATATTCTTGGATTTGTGGGAACAGACACGATCCTTATTGGACATGCGTTGGACAATGATCTACGAGCACTAAAATTGTTACACGGTGCTGTGGTTGACACTTGCGCATTGTACCCTCACGCACGAGGATTCCCAATGCGACGATCATTGCGAGCGCTTTCGGAGGAGTTCCTCGGGCGCATTGTACAGCATAGAAGTGCCGGACATTCACCGTTAGAAGACGCTCGTGCTGCTATGGACCTGGTACTTCTAAAAGTCCACAAAGAGCGGGCAAGCCGTGCTCTTATGTCGGACCAGCTGCCAATGTTACAGCCTTATGATCCGTTAATCAGTGCCGCCTAATTTTTGTTATAAGTTATAAGACGATTGTTCTATAGACATGAATGATGATGGACTGATAAATTGAGTGACAAGTTTGTCACGTTGACGGGGTGCGCGTGCTGTATAGTATGTGCCTTCGAATTGCAGTTATGGCAATAAACGTGATATTTTTCTAAAAAAAATTGTTTAATTTATTCTTTACTCCTGAAACACTACCTGGGTATGTATGATACACGTATACACTAAAATTATATTAGAAATGTAGATACAGGCTAAATGCTTTAAAATTTCGATGTTTTAATCTAAATACGTATGCAAACATACGTCTATATGTAAACAACGTATGTGAATTCATATTAGTAGTGACACCATTGTGTAGTTCAACCCGTTATATTAAAGTGTTCTGCTATTTTGTGTGTCACTGTTGGTAGAGCCATAAAACTTTCACTGTTAGGTTTCTCTGCTACGTAACAAGTAGTTGGTAGTGTAGCCATGCAAAGCGTTTGTATATCATATAACAGACTTCTTTTATGTATTAAATTTCACATTTTATATATTTTACGTTATCATAAAACATACGCTTTAAAATTCATTCATAAAAAGGCACTGTTGAAATTTCTTAGACATTAATTACTAATTTAATTTAGGTTTGAAAGAGTTAAAATAGAAAAATACAAATATTGTTTGTTAAGTGATAATTTCAAAACATTTCTTCCTTATATAAAAACACACTTACAGATTGATACATACGGAATTTATATTATTATTTTCTGACGTAAGGAATTCCCATCTTACTAGATAACATTGGCTCGTAAGAAATGATTCACCAAGTAGGTTATATCGGAAGTTAGGGAAGGAAAATCATACGTGTGTTTACTATACTCAGGAAAATACACACGAATAATTCATATTGTTCAATGTTTATAATATTATTATGATGATGTAACTACCCAAATGACTAAGCTCTTGAATTTCGTAGTTTGTTTTTGGTTTTTCTCATAAACTGAGTCAGCATTACGATACATGGGCTTCCCGGTAAAAAAATTAAATGATTGCCTGACCTATATGATGATGCATAAGAAAAAAAATTCTGCTTTGTTTTTTGTGCACTTCTGAGAATATAAGATGGCTAATGAATATGAAAGTATAACTCAAGTTGTTTAACAGTGCTCATTTTAATCAGAAACAATTTAGTGTCCGTGCACTCGAAGTCAGTTTACATAATTCGCTTACATAAAGATGACGAAACTGGTATAAGATATGCGAATCAAATGATTTCTACTGGCTGGTTTGGCTTTAACGCATCATTCATATTAATAATGAGTACGATTAATATTTATATTGCATTCGCATTTGTAAATGGAAGTAATGTCGTCCATAGTATTGACGTACATATTATATTTACTGGCAGGGTCCTATTTTAGTTCAAACTAGTTTTCTCTAGGTCGAACTAGTTAAACCAGGGCCTATTCGAATTGACTGGATTAACCGGACAAAATTAAAAGACCCTGATAAATTATTAAAATAATTCGGCTGGAATAATATAGTTAAATTCAACTTAAATTATTTTGCAAATAAAAAAGTAAGTAATGAGAGATATCGCATTTAAATTTGGCCACTGCTTACTATTTAATACATATGTACAGATTTAACCTAATTCACGGTTTGTCGAGAATATTTAGTCATTTACAGTACCTTGTGATTATTAAAAACTAAAAATAATATCTGTAAGGTTGTGTACCTGTTTAGAGCATCTAACAAAATATTCAAACATGTAAAATACACAAGATACTGCGTATATCAGCTAAGAGCAACGCCCTCCCGCCCGGTCATCTGAATGAGTGGTTTGTTTACGTTTCGTTTCATTTAAATAACTCTTAAACATATTCGTTCGACCAAAAAGATCATATTACCAGATAATAGATTATCATAAACTCAAGCTGAATAGACTTCAGGAAATTAAAAATCTAGAACAAAAAATGACATACATTAATATAGTTAGGCTATATCTAATCGTAATCTATTGGGAGTATTCGATTTCCTGAGGAGATATGTGTTATCCAATTAAATACAATTGCCAAGTAGATTGAATTTCGTATAACTGTGTTAAGATATTTTGTGTCAACAACACTCATTTGTTGTTGATATATCAGTTGGTGACGTGATATCACTAGTCATATCAAAGAAAAAGGGATGTTTAAACAAATCGCTATATTATTGAGCTCTTATCGGTAATAGAGTTCTATATTTCTACGAGCAGACAGAGCAGACGACAGAGCGCGCCACGTCAGCATCGATCGAATAATCGCACCCGAAATAGATTAGCAGAAACATAAGTTTATATTGTATGAAACTGATTAGTGATAACAGAACAATCATATGATACACTTTGTCATGTAGCATATAATCTGAATCTGCGTCTGAATCTGAATGAAACACGCTCTTATCGTAGTTTTTGTACTTCGTCTCGAAAAAACAAGTTGAATAAAATTCAACAAATACAATAATGAAATTTAGCATTAAATGTTATAAATAAAATTGTAGGTAATCTAAACAATGTCATATTCTCCTACAATACCGTAACAAAACTTGAGAAATGTTACATTTACTTTTATTATTGTTTTACTAAAATTAGCTAGTTTGGGAAAGAAGTAGATCCAGAATATTTCTAGAAATTGTAAGTATTTTCAAGAAAATTTCAGCTTCAGGCTATTAAATGTTAGTAATACTCAGATAATTGCTTTTTCATATGTGTATAATTGTGTTCTTGTCAGAATTTCATTTTGTGCATTTTGAAATAATTTCACGCCTTAGTGCCGTCTGACGCGATAGACAGGCGATAGAGCGGCCCCATATACCACGATCGCGATCCCAACCCTATCGAAAAGCGAAAAACTAAAAATACTACAGAAAAAAATACATTCCGTATTAGTAGAAACAGTCAGGTATTCAACATCATCGTCATCACCAATAGGTGTCTACTACACATATGGATCTCTCCAGTGACTTCGTGAACAAAAATACGGAATTTAAATTGTTTCTCAAACTAACCGTTGATCTTTACGTAACCTTCACTCATAATATACTTAAAAGTTAATTATATTGAGGAGAATACTTAATTTCTTGCTCGCTTGAGTCTTGTTAAGTTTTTATTATAAAGAATATATAGGGTTAATGATGTAATGGGTGAATTGTCTACTGAACGATTCAGAGTTCATCGTCTTGGCCTCCGTGGCGCCGATCGCCTCCGCCTCAGTAGGTACCTATTTCATAATAATACTTGCACAAATTGAGGCGTTATTTCGTCATTGACTACACTTCGACACGCCTACTGGACCTCACCATGCAATACTTTATTTGTACCCTCTATATAGGTAGGTAGGTATATGGTGTTTACGCATACTTAGTACATGTTACGTAGAAAATAATAATTAGGTCATTACAATTTAGTAGAATTGTATCTTGCTGACTGTACTGAACAATGTCTCATGCAAATATGTACATATTTATGAACCCGAAACAACAGCATATAGTAGTGGCACATAATTGTATACACACAGAATAATTAATTATATATATATAGAAAAATATATGTATTTACTCGACAATTTAGCCGGTTATCTACTGTTTACCTATATGTATACATATATATAGTATATATGTATACATATAGGTAAAATACAAGATGGTATTCGCATAGGTATTTCGTGCACACTTAATCATCTACTTCAAGCTTTACATATAAAGAATTGCGATGGTGGCTGGCCTCAACCAGACTGACAATGCCATTGGACCTTGAATTTGGTGCGAGTATTACTGACACAGACGAGTTTTTGTCTCGGATAAGAATCACTGGGCTTATTATGTATGTACGATTTGTACGAATGATTTGAAAACATTCACGAAGTCATATATGGAGGTAAAAATGTGTGTTATACGATTATTTTAGATGACGTCTGTGTTGTATATTATTTTAATCTTGCTGAGTGACCACACTTCCTTGTTTTTGAAGAAATTTTTTAATAATCTATTTCTTTATATTAACCATTCAATTTATCGTGACGGTTGCTGAGACAATCTTTTAATTGCTAGGATATGTTTATACGAATCTTCGTCTCACGACTTATTTAAACACGGTACAAGGATATGCATCAATATTGCATTACATTAGTGCAAGAATATGTATCATTGTTTAAATACATACATCAAAATAAAACTTCTCATTTTAAAAACGCATGGTCGTAGAGTTAATATGTCTACCAATATTATTTATTTATTTAATGAAACTTTATGCACTTTTGTACATTACATACGGCGGACTTAATGCCCAGGGCATTCTCTTCCAGTCAACCTTTGGATGGTGTAGAAACCTTGGCTTGTAAGGTAGGTGCACAGAGGTTACATATTATATAATCAATGAAAATGTATACAGTTATTAAGTAATAATATAATATGCAAAATAAATATTTATAATAATATAAAATAATATACACAGTTATAAACAATGAAATTTTTTGTTTAATCATATATTCTCAAGTTTACACACTTAACTGGTTCCAACATCCTAACGCGAAGACAAGTCATTTTAGGTTGTGCCTACTACCCATATGATTATCCTCAAGGAATAAATAATTTACTCTGAATATAATGTTAAAGTTCATTGCAGGCTACCCTAATTACCCTAATTAAAATGTAACAATATCCGTGTAAAGGTTTCTGTAAGAGATCGCCGTGAGGGATAAGACCGTCTATGTATCATACCGAAATGTATATAATATCCGTGCAAATAATACTGTACCGGTGCACATTAAAGAGGCAAAATAAATAAATAAGCTGTTTATTAAAACAATATGTCACACGTAAATGAATTTGTTGTTTATGCACCGATGTAACAATGATGACGCTATTTGCTAGATATTTTTTGGTCGTCACTCTAATAAAATATACACCACTCTTAAAAGTATCCCAGAAACATATTTCATAAAAATATTTGAATAAAGTACCAGAAGTGTCAAATATTCAATAAATCAGAACCTATTAATCGGTAGGAGGAAGGTTTACTTGATAAAAGATTTGTGACAGTTTGTGAACGAGGCCAGTTACTACTTCATGACGAGTTGTTTTAAATTTAATCATGGTGATGGCCTGAACCGCCGCCGTGCCGTCGTTAACGAAACAAACAAAGAAGTTGCAATTATTTCATTGGAAGACTGGAAGATAAACTAACTTATCACCTGAGATTATTTTGCTTAAGGAGTTCGGTCAGAATTTCCATCAGCTGTAGACTGTAACTATCGTAATTTTGACAAATCAAGGATGTGTGGGGAGACTAAAGCTTCCAGCATAAATTAATACAGGCACCAAGCTCAATTTCTTCAAAATTATTCAACTAGTTAGGACTACGACCACTTTGAATTTATTAGAGTTAACGAAATTTTAGCAGAACATGGAACAATAATATTCTTGAGACGTAACGCATCGGATGAAGTTCTCTGGATTGTAAAAATAAGTAAGTAAACAATTATAAACTAGTTAGTAGTTACTTTCACTTTCATAATTTATAATTGTATTAACAATTTAATATTAATTGAATAATTTATTCTTTAGAGTATTAGATTTGCTCTGACCACTTGCCCCCTTTTTTTGTTTTTTTTTTCTGTGCGGAAATCCCCTTGGATACCACCAGTGGCTATGTCGGACTGACCACTTGCTCTAAAATGAAACATAAGTCAAGATAGAAATGTGTATGTATATTTATCCTTTTTTATTAGGGTGTTTTCAGAGTAAATTATATATAACCAATATATATATATATAACCAAGAAAATATTGTCTATGTTTAATAAATACATTAGTGTATATTTTATTTTAAGGAAATTCATGTTTTTTTACTACCCCTCTTCATATTTAAAGAATTTCCAATATTTACAAATTAGTATAAAAAACTTTTCTATTTATAAATTAGTATAAAAAGGTTTTTTCTCTTTAAAGTAAGTTCTATCTAAAGTTTTTTCTCTCCCTTTTTTTTTCAAGACCAAAATAGTTATAGACTACTGTTTCGACATGCACTGCGATGAATTTACATAACCCTCATTATGCACTTGTACATAGCGAATACATAAACATTTACGTACGTCTCTTATGAAAAAACTATTGTAAATATAATAAGTTTTTCAAATAACGAACAAATATTTCCTGAATTGACAATAATGTTCGTAATACTGTACAATGTATTAGTACGAACCAAGTCTATTATATGTCAATAATCAAGTTGTGTCTGAAAATATTGTAAGCATTTAAGCAATTTAGTTTTGTATAGATAACCATGAAATCGATAGGTTGCTGTTAACTGGTGAGGTAGGAAACAAATGTTCTTTCTGCCTGAAATCACGAGGCCTTGATACAGTGACTCAGTTTCTATATCAAAAGTTGTCCGTTGACCTTTTACCGGTCCGCTTATTGTTGCATGTAATGCACTTTACCTACTTTAAACACAGTAATTATATTATTGTTTAGTTATCTGTCGTGCTTGCCGCTTGAGAACTTAGACACCTCGACATAGAACTACAACAAGTCAAAGGAAATATAATTTGCGGATTAATAATAATATCAAAAATACAATTTTATGAATAATTGATCTATTATAATTAGTTATTTCTTAAATCAAGTTAGTTAAACAAGAATCTGTGCCATAGTTATGCGTCTTACAGCATGATATGTATTTATACGTCAAAATTTATAAATGAAGACGTATGGGTAAATTGTACCTTTTGCTAAGGCTTGCACTGGCACTAAGCTTTGGCGAAAGCCTAGAATTAATTAGCCTATTTTACTAATAAACAAGGAAAATAAATAATTAATATATGACTTTCGCTTTTGCTTTGCATCTGCCAGTTGATCTTTAGTCAGGCAGATAAATTTCGGCCATAATTTATTAAGTTTTCAATGTATGTATAATATTACTTGCCTAGTAAAACTTGACTAGTTTTACTGTTTCTTCTTCCCATCTAAAACACTAGGAAGTGGTGACGGGTTGGGCGTTGTTGGGGGACTGTCTTTATATAAATAATGAAGTTCAAAAAGTACTGCCACTTAGTTTAATTTGAAAAAATGACTTCTCGTATATATGTATACGAGCAGTCATTTTTATATATCTATATCGTGACAGGTCAACGTAGAATGTAGATACTAGACATACGTAGATCTTTGTGTCCGTTTTCATACATTACATGTATATTATACGTACGACATTATTGTTTTCAATATTTGGCAACACTTCTTTTACATTCTTACACTACACATTGAGAAACGCTTGAAAAGGAGTATAAAGAATTATTTTCATGAGTATATAATTATAATAAATATAAGGTAAATGTAGTACTAGACTGCACGGATGGCGTAGTGGTTAAAGCGGTCGCCACGCCGCTTTCTATTACGCCGAGTGTTGTGGGTTCAAATCCCCACATGGACCAACACTTTGTGTGATCCACAAATTGTTGTTCTGAGTCTGGGTGCACTTTGTGTCCGTTTAATGTATGTTTGTAAAGTCCCCCGCGACACAGGATTTATTCCTAGTGCGGGAGTTGTCTTTTTATAAAAAAAAAAGTAAGCGAGGAAAGCATTAGCTTGAAACGTAGCATCTTCTGTCAACGCAAAAAATAAATTATGATATCTATAGGTAACGGAATAAAATAATTGGTTGCTCTTAAGATAGTATCATTGATCTCAATTAACAATGGAATTTAACATTATTTTGAGGGTGACTTCGGCGCGTTCCTAAAGGTCAAGCTCCAAGAGTGTCTATGACCTTTTATTGATTTTTTTGGGGAATCGTGTGGCAAACGTGCCACGAACTCCGGCTTAATATAATGAGCATTTAATAACAGATAGGTATTGTATTCAGATGGTTCCGTGATTCTCTGGGACGTGAGGGATCTAAATCAGAAGGAGCACAAAACGTTGCGTGTGAACATCGAGTTCGACCATGCGTCGCACGTTGCCTGGAGCCCGGACTCAAAGGCATTTATTGTGCATACTGTACGTGAGAATCATGTCATAGTCTACAAGATAGAGAAGAAAAAGGACGGCGCCATAGCGTCAGCAGCACCGGTCATCACGTTCGACAAGGTTAGTGAATATTTCTCTCTCATCGTCGCTTGACCGACGATGCGCTGTTCACTACCTGAAACGAGACTTCCCGATATGTACACCAATTTACTCATCATATGAATTTTATTATTAAAGTGGTAGAGTTCGTTGCCTCTTGTTTTATCTTTCATTGTATAATGCTTTAGATTTATTTCATCTCAGTCATAGACGGCGTCCTAGATTCTACATAGTATCATGCCGATTACGCACCTATATTTTCTTTTTATACTTGTACTAGTAGTTTCACTAATTATATAATTGTCTATTATTCCTTAGTTTATTGTCGTTGTATCTCGCAATTATGGGTTATGTAAGAGTCTTATCTGTCATTATCTCGTTCGCAAATGCATCATTGGATCATAATACATGCGCCTGGTGAACTGGGCTTTAATGGTAACAGTCAATACATGGATTATCTGCTCATACATACAATGTATTAATACTCCATAAGTAGGTCACTAGGTTACGTACTCATTGACGTCATAATAGTTACATAAAAAATAAGTTAAAGCTGTGAAACTATTGTTCTGGTGTTGAATATCTGTGAAGGATTAATATTATATATATATATATAAATAAATAGTGAATATCTGGATATTCAATATTATTCCACTAAACTTTTTTTTAATTCTCTATACTATCTTTGACGATTATCTGTAGTGACTTGTTGTATCACTTAGTACGCCTTCTAGACTCGAAAGGTAGTATCGTGGTATGTTTATTATAATGCATAACATCCCCAGTGTCCCATTTACGATTATTTTGACGAATAATAAGTGAAAAATACATGTTTTGGTGCAACATTGTAGAATATATATTAGGCGTTTTGTAGCTGAAAATAGGTGGGCGTCATAGTGTAAAAGCATTCACGGAGCAACGGCCGCGTCTGTTGAAAATTCAAATTAGAGTTCAATATACATATGTATGTCGGCTGAGGAATTTATGGCAAACCATATATTTATTTAAATAAAGCTTTACTTTCTTTCACCCATGCTAAGATGTAGAGAAATATTTATATTCATTGGGCATATTGTAGGTGATGTGTAGCCTCTTAAACTATTATGCCTCGTAAAAAGATAATTAGATATTTGGTAATACTCTTGAATTTTGTGATTGATGTTGATTTCGGATGAATAAATGATGATCAAGTTACCAGGGCAGATTTTTTGATCGTGCCGAAACCTCTAAGGGCCATGAGCATGACCTCATCGGAGCTCACGGAGTATTGCGTCACATGTGAGTTCATTGTGGGGATCTTGGGTTAGGAAGAAAATCTCTGGAAACCCAAGCAGACCTGGGTCACCAGGCAGCCAGATTTTCGTGCAAAACAAAATGAGGCATCGGAAACACGCACACTAACGTAAAACTGAACAAAAAAATTATAGCTCTGCATTCTCTGTGGTATATATTATAGAGAGTGCTCCGAGGAATTTTTCGGACTAATACCGCCTGCACGGTATTTCCGGACCGATACGACCTTCAAACCTCCAAGAAAAGAGCTTACTCCTTCTTCAAAGGCTGGCAACGCGCTTATGACTCTTGAGTTGCACGCGTTTGCGGGCGGCGGTAGTCGCTTTCCATCAGGTGACCCGTCTGCTCGTTTGCCCCCTATGCCATAAAAAAAAAACTCTATTGTATTCCCCTTACCATGCAAATAATCAGACATATCTTCTTCAGATGGAATGTATCTGTTCCCAGAATCATAAAAACTCTCTCTTTATAAGTTCACAACAATGTTCGTCTTGGTGTGTTCATTATCTTCATCATCAAAGAGTGATAAAAAGGCAATTTCTTCTGACAAGTACCAAAGATGTTGACTAAACTTGCTCAGGGACGCTTTGGAGATCAATTTGTCAACAGTTTCATATTCCTTACGCCTCTTTAAAAAGCACAAATCTTGATTTGGTGCCTTAACCGCAAACTACATCCAAGCCATGGTTTCACATATATAACCGCACTGAATAAAGAGACGTCTTGAAGTGCTCGTTTATCCTTGGCGCTAATTTTTAACTGGGATTGCAACAAACATATCTTTAAAGAGTAAATAGCTTCAGCCACCAACCTTGCTTGATGCATCGGTCGGAGGTCTAATTTTTTTTTTTTTTTACTGTTTTCTCCTAATAAAATAATAGATAGTTCAATCAGTTCCTGATAATCGTCACGTACAATGGTTTATTGCAGTTCTTGATATTCGTGTGACGATATCGGTGTATGTTTCAACAGCAGCAGGATTAATAGTTTTCCAGCTGTCTAAACTTTTTGAACAGTGGGATATCAGGGCTACTTGTAACTGGGGGGATTTTTAAAACCAGTTCGTAAATTGGATGGCGGCAAGCAAAGAGTAGTAATTCCCTGTCTAGTTTTTGTTCCAAAGTACACCAGCTCCTTTTAATCGCCCTGTATTAGACGCAGTTGTGTCACAGCACATTAATTGTACTTTGTCATCTAGGTTCCAATCATAAAGTGCATTCAACACAGCTTTATCTTGATCCTGTCCGGAAGAGCTCTCCAGTTTGGGTACAGCCAGAAGTTGTTCCTATTCTCCAAATAAAATTAGAATCGGCAGGCGTTCTTCTTTAGAACTTCTCATGTCAAGTCCAAGTAATTATTTCCCATCCCAGTGAACGGTCACCATTTCAGGCATATTATTCCGAAAATCTGATTTTATAGATTCCGCTCTATGGTTTTTCCGCCCTATAGTTGAATGGACGATTTGTTTATAAATCATCACAGCTAAGATCTAGTGCTTCTACTACATAGTTGACCTGAAGTACATAGACAAAATCCCTTGTGCTTAATTGACATCTATCTAAAACTGACTAACTAACTTAGGCGTGATAAAGTCTTTCGGAAGGAAAGACTTTATTACTTTTTGTAGTAGTTTCAGAACTTACCGTTTGAAAGGTGGCTAGCAAGAGTTCCTCAAGGCTTTCATCAGAGCTGGTAAGTTGATCGTGATGTCTTTGCGTTTCTATAGAATCTTGTCTAGTAAGAGATGACGATAAACCTCCGAAACACATTTGCCCATATCTTTTTTTCTCTTCATAAAATTTTCTTTGTCTTGCCCTTACCAAAGCATTAGCGTGTGCTATATTAAATATATTATCTAAATGTTTTTAAAGCCCTCTTCACGGCGCTTGTAAATGTCTTTATATTTTTTTAGATTTTTTCTTGCAACCCCTGCAAGCGTACTGAAGATCCACAAGTTTTTTTACACAGTTAGTTATAGCTCTGGTAGGGATTTTCTATCTTTTACACAAAATGTAATACACTCCCGAATGACGAGATTAGCGCTTTCACTAACAGGACTTATACGATTTTTATAAAAAAAAAACGAAATTTACTTAATACAATTTTTTTTGAAGTTGACAAAATATTTTATAATTTCAATTACTAAAACTGTAGTTAACTTAACAAACTGGGCCGCAGCAGATGGTTAATAATAGCAAAAATAAATAAATTTATGATTAATAATTGACGAATATTAAAAATGAAATAGATGATAGTTACACTGCAAATTTGTCAAAAAACGTGTACAAATTCTTAGCTATCTAACAAGGTATAATAATCTAGGATAGTATCAGAAATCATAGAAAAACTTAGATGAAAAAAGTATAAAGAATTAGCGTATAACCCGGTAGTACGAGTATTTAGTTAAAAACTGGGCTTGCTTTTTTGGACTCAAACTCATTTTTTTTTTAATTGTTTGAAATCGTCTTTTATGTAGACTCTAAAGTCACAGATCAACACACAATGGCAACAATCTCTGTTTTGTCAAATAATTAGCAGAACAATAATAAAATAAAATTACATCATAATGTAACCGACAATTATTAGTTCAATATTTCGACATTGTCATAGCGCCTTATGGTTGTATTTCCTTTTAATAAACATCAGTTTAGTCAATGCATTATAATTTATTATCGACGTTGCGTTTTGTCAACTAAGCGAAGACGGTGATTCATTCGCATACAACACAATAACTCGTATATTGTTGTGACGTATGTTGACATTGCGATTGGTTCAGATTAGGTCAGTACCGAAAATATTTTACGTCAAAACACGTTGTTCGTGTTTTAAAACATTTGACTGATTAAAAACTTTGCAATGTCACATTTCTCATGTTAAACCAAAGAAGAAACGTTGTCCTAGTTTAGTTCAAGCTGTTTTTTATTTTATTTTATGTATTTTAGAGTTTTGTTCATTTAAAGATTCAGTATTCAAGTACCTATACTAAGTAATGTTATGAGACGTTCGACTTTGATGCATGCAAAATTGGGATGAAAATCAACTCAAAAGAATGGTTATTATGTAGTAGATAATTAGATATGTAGGTACGTAAAATTATAAAATGACATAGTTCATTAGCCACATCTTCAAGTGGACTAAGTGGAATACATGAACTTGCGCTCAAAAGGTGCAAAGTATGCTTCTGGGAAAGGAAAGTTCACTATCTGTTTATACGTTTATTATTAAGCTTATTACTATTATTAAGTACTTGACGGAATACGTATTATAAAATTGTAAATTACCTTTTTTAATATAATAAAATAATGATTATTGCAGACGAAATAAATTGAGAATTTATAGCCGCAAAGTAAAACTTTGAATTGTTGCCACTTAAGTTACCCACAATTTACTGTTGTATACATTTAAGCTGCATCTCTGCACAGAATGAGACTAAAACTGAATAAATGTTTAATAGATACAAACGATTATCATTTCACTAGTTCGACTCGTTAAAACTTACAGTACCACCTAAATCAGAAAAGGATTTGCTTCGCAGAAAATACTAGTATCACATGCATACTAAATATTCCACTATCATTTCGATCATATATTAGAACCATTGCATCGTATGTTTTTTGTTATGTCCATATAAGTATGTATTATTGTGAGTGAATATCAAACTGACAAACGTTCAATACAAACAACCTATGTTTTGACGGAAATAGTTTTATGTAAAAATCTGAGAGACA